AAAGAAGCAGTCTCTAATACAGTGCCCAGAGCTCACGCTCAGGAGCCACACACACTTCCTCAGTTTGATTTTGACTGTTCCGGACGAGCTTGACCTCAAATAAGTTACTTCAACTTGCCAGACCTCGGGTTCTGAATGTGTAACACAGCAGCGGTGGTGGCGTGTAGCTCAGACACTACAAGAGGCCTAAACACAGCACTGTAATACGTGAAATGCCATTATCATTCATCTTCTCATTTTCTAAATGAGCACATATCACTCTTGTAATTAAAAAACCAGTTACAGGAGAAAAAGGTCGCACCCACTCTGTTTAGAGCCTTTTTACAAGGCTTCAGATGACATGTGACTAACAGGCATTTCGGATCCTGCTGACGAAACGCCCCAGGACCCTGTGAGTGACTGACAGCACGCAAGTCCTATTTCATTCCCACGATCTCCTGCTGGCCTCTCAAGGTTACGAGCAAGTGGCACTGTGGACACTAACTGACAAGGGGATGTCTGGGTGAGGATTTGAAGAGCTGGCTGGCCAACCCCGGGCCTCGGTGAGCGGAAGCCCTGGGTGTGCAATGCCATTTCTCCGAGCGCTCTGCTGACCTTTCAAACTCCACTCTGCTCAGACCGAAGACAGCCAGTGCTTTCTAGGGATCACTGTGTTCCTGATCACATGGTCAAACAGTGACAATGTGGCCCAACCCTCTACAGAGGACCTGGCGAGACTCCACAGGAGACTGGAAGAGAAGGGTGTGGGGTGGGGAGTAAGGAAGGCTGCCCAGTCAATACCGGTATACCCCCAGCAGGAACACTGTGACATATTTGTGTGTGGGTGTCCTTGGTGCGTATCTGAAGAATAACAGCAAAACTCCAAGGTTACCTTAGACCCAACACCAAGATGAGAAGCTTTAACTCATGCAGAGGAGCGGCGAACACAGGACAAGATGCTAAGGGCTGGCAAGGCTCATTCATTCAACCCAAGAAATGGTTACTGACTACTTATGTGCTCAGGGGTAAGAGGGCTCAGTGGAGTCTGCAGGACACACAGACACATACCTGAACCTTTGCTAACCTCGCTGATGTCCCCATATCTCCGAGGTACCTGGGCTAGAAAAATAAGAAGCCTGCTGGCCTCCTGGCCTCCAAACGCCCTCCCAGGACGGACCACCAGGAAAAGTTCCTGCACAGTGACCTCCCACTGTTCAGAATTAAAGAGTAATATCCTAACTCCTTACTGTGGCCACAGATCCAGCCCCTACCAACTCCTCGCCCGCCTTGTCCCAGCCCCGCTGGGCTCATCGCTCCTGCTGTCCCCTCTGCGCATCCACTGGGTCTCCATTCAAAGTCACCTCCTCAGAGGTAGCCGAAGTCATGCCCAGTTGCTCTCCATCTCATCGTCCCCGATGTGTCTCCCCGAGTGTCTTTCCACCACTCCGTGTTATTCTGCCCACGTGTCTACTTGTTTACTGTCTGCCTCACTCACTACCTTATTTGCATGGGGGCCCACATCAGCCTCACAGTTGCCTTCAAAGGGCCGAATGTAATTTAGGACTGCATAAATGTTAATACTCCATAACTAGGGGCAAGGAGCTCGGCATTGCCACCGGGTAGAAACAAGGTGTCGAGCCACATAAAACAACGTGGAGGGCCAGACTCGTCCCTCGGGCCTTGGGTTTGCTGCCCCATATGCTACAATGTAAACCTCGTTAGACCATGTATCTTGGCAATCTCGTTCTTGGCTATATCCCCAGCACCTACAACAGTGCCTGGCACTTAGTAGGTGTTCAATAAGTCACTCAATTTAACAAATATTTACTGAATGCCTACAAAGTTTAGGCATTGAACCATAACAGTAGACCAAAAAAAAAAAACCCCAAAAAACAAATAAAAGACAAAATCTGTCCTCAAAGATCTTAACTTCTGTTGGGAGATAAGATACATAAATAATGGTGTAATAATAGCTGCAGCTTCAACCAAGGCAATGCTCAGTGCTGTTCTAAGCATCTGATAGGTATTTACTTAATCTTCCCAAAAATTTGTGAAGTATTATTTTATAGATGGGGAAACTGAGGCACAGAGGGGTTAAGTTACTCGTGGAAGGTCACACAGCTCATAATGGCAGAACCGAGACCCAAACCCAGCAGCTGTTCCTTGCAGGCAGGGCGGAACAGCGGGCCATCAAGGAAGGGATGCCCTGTTCTGGGAGCTCGGGGAGACGCAGGCTACGGGTTTCCCAGGGCTGCACACCCGAGAGGAGAAATCTGAGAGCAAGCATGGTCTGATGAGAAGACAAGGAAGGACAAGGGTCAGGATTCCTGGCTGCTAGTTTTAGGTGCTGTGAGACACCCAGGCACGTGATCGGATACTTGATGAGTTTACTTTTTGTACAGGACACCAATCTGCATGCTGTGAGGGACGCAAACATGAACTCTCCCAACAGAGGTCCTGGCCTCAGACAGGTTAGGGTCGCGGACACACCCATGGAGCCGAGACAGAGGTAGAAAGTGGCATGTGCCACAAGAAAATGTACAAACTGCCATGGGATTTCAAGAGTTCTGCAGCCTCGAGGGGCCACAGGTGGCCAGCCATTAAAGAGGGGCTGGCCTACATAACCCCCAAGGTCCTCTAGTTCTGACGTGTTCTGAAAGCATGGATTTAGAGGAGCATGGAGATCAAGTTTTATTCTGGTTAGTTGTTCAAGTTCATGGTCACTGAACTTGTTCATGTTCTCCTACCTGAGAATAGATCAAATTTCTTTGGGCAACACCTTACAGCAGCAGAAGGGCAGTAATGCTCTCATTTAAATATTGCAGCTAGATGTGGGGACAAAGCCCAGGGTGCTCTGCCCCCCTCTACTTCTAACTGGTTTTTAAACCCACAAACCCTCTTTCAAGGAGGAAGTGACCCTTCTGTGAACACATTGTTATAATCTGGGGACTGCTCCCTATTCCCCTTGTGCATGTCTGTACCCCTGGAGTCTAGCACGGTACCTGGCTCACGACAGGTGCTGAGTTAAGGTTTGCTGAACCAAACTTGGGCACGGTCAGGTCTAGAAATTCTCTGCTAGACACAGAAATCTCAGCCAGTGTTCCCTGAAGTTCTGCCGTGCAGCCCTCAGCCTCTCCCAGGGTGGCAGACTGGTTCCACCTCTTCAGTTTTACTGTTTCCACGCTGGCCCTCCAAGCCTCCATTGCCTCTTGCCAGGCAGCTGCAATAGTCTGTCTCCCAACTGGCACCCCTGCTTCTATGTTTGCTTCTTACAATCCGGTCATGATGTGGCAGCCAGAATGATCTTTGAGAACTTAAATTTAGATCTTATCACCTCTCTGCTGAAAATCCTCCAACGGTTTCTAACTGCGCTTGGAATATAGTCCAGACTGGTTATCCCACCTTCACAGAACTTACTGCTACTGAAATTACGATGTCTGCGTATTTGCTTACTCCCTCCTCTTTAGAATGTCCGTTATAGGAGCACAGGGGCTGTGTCTACCTTCACCATTGTGCTCCTGGTGCTCGGAAGGGTGCCTGCCACATAGTAAGCATTCACTACTGAATGAATGAATCCCCGTCCCATAGAGGCAACTTGTATTTACACGGACCACAAACTCCGCCAGGAAACCATGAATGTCACACTAACATGTAACAGCTGGCACCTTTATTTATCGTTCAAAGTCCTGCTTTAAATCAGAGGAACCTTGGGCCCTGGCCAGGTAGCTCAGTTGGTTAGAGTGTCATCTACATGTACCAAGGTTTCAGGTTTGATCCCTGGTCAGGACACATACATAAAACAACCAAAGAATGCATAAATAAGTAGAACAGCAAACTGATGTTTCTGTCCCTCTCTTCCTCTAAAATGGATTTTAAAAAAACAACAACAGAGGAAACTTGCTATCTCTGGATACTCTAATGGTCCAAAAGATCAGTGTCATTTACAATCTAAAGGCAGGAACTAGAGCCCAGCAGTTGTAGCAGGAAGCTAAGAGTCAAAGCACTTGCGAACAGAACCTCAGAACAAACTCCAGCTTGCATCCAGGTCTCTTACCAACACAACCTGTGCCTCGGTTTACCCAGCAGTCAGCTAGGCACACTTCCCTAAGTTCTGAGTGGCAGGAGACAAAATAACTAACAGCTACTGCATACTTAGATCCTCAGATAGGAGGTGCCACAGGTCACACATCTTGTTACTTATGAATCGTTTTGCCGCACACACAGGCCTCCCCGGCCTTCCCAGGGGTTAACCTGACAGCAGGCACTGCTCAGACAAGTTCAGCACGCAAGACAGAGGGAGGCACGTGGGGCCTAACAGATTGGGTGTCCAGAGCTATGTGTTTTGATGACCAGATTCAAGAACAAGGAAAGTGCAAGTGATGAAAAGGAGGTGAGAAGTGTCCTTTGGACGCCAAGCGGTTAATTTTGCAGGCTCACGTAACAGCTGGCCATGCAGATGAGACATGTGCCTACAATGTGTACCTTCTTCCAGTAGCGCTGGCGCGGAGAGGTGGAGTCGGGAGAAGGCAGTTCAATCAAACTAGAGAGAGGAAGGGCAGCTCAGTGGCCAGACCTTGGCAGCATTTAGTTTGGGGAAATATGGAGGAGCTCTCTATACACGGGGTCAGGATGCTGAGAGTGGGGCTCAGGTGAGGCAAGAGACAAGAGGAGGCAGGACCCTGAGTGCTGACAGACCATGACAACCACGCAGAAGCGGTGCGGCAAGCTACAGCGTGGGTGGCTCGGACACCTGTGGAGGCGATTTCCCGGAGAAGGTGAGGACCCTGCAGGGTGGTCTTTGGCCGGGGCAGGAGAGAGACTGAAGGCAGCGGCAGCCCGGCGGGACGAGGAGGCCTGGCCCAGACCAGGGAGCCGCGCCGGGGGCCAAGCCAGTGGGTCCGAGCTGGGTCGGGGGTGCCCTCCGCTGCCCCTCCCCGGGAGACAAAGGGCCGGCAGCTCCCCCGAGCCCAGGCGCGGCGCGGGCCTGGGAGCTATGGGCTAGGGCTGGCCTCGGCGCTTACCTGGGCCGCCCGACCCGGCCGGGCCGGCGGGGGCTGCGGGGCCGTGCACGGCGCGCGGCGGCCTGTTCCGGGGCGCGATCACCCCAAACAGCCGCGGCGGCGGCAGCAGCAGCAGGAGCAGCAGCAGCAGCAGCGGGAGCGGCCACCTCAGCCTCCGCCTCCTGCTCCGTGAGTCACCGCGGCGGGGAGGGAGGGAGGCGCCAGACCGCCGTGGGTGGGACCCGCGAAGGGGGCGGCATCTGGCTCCGAGCAGGCGGCGGAGGCAAGACCACGGCAACGCCCCGCAGAGTAGAGGGGGACACGTAGGGCCGGGCCCCAGGGGCGGGACCTGTTGGGGGCGGGGCCCTGGTGAGGGCGTGGATCATCATTGGTCACATCGGCCTTTGGGGCGGGGCTTTCTGCTGGGGGGCGGGAGCTGCGGGACTCTCAGGGACGTTTATTGGGCTCCTTGAGAAATGGGGTAGACCGTGGGCCCCGGGGCGGGGCCATGAGACGTGCGGAGGGAGCGTAGGCGCGGATAGTGGCCGAGCAGCTCCCTCCAAGAGCAAAGGGTTAGGGGCGGGACCTGTGGTGGGCCGGGAAGAAGGGGCGGGGGTTCGGAGGGGGAGGTGGCCCGAGGGCGGAGCCCGGGTTAAGGATGGAGCTGTCGCCGAGGTACAGCAACTTTGCCCGTCGTTAGCTGCTCCTGGAGCACAGTGATCCCATAAAAATAATGGCCTCTCCCATACACGGGTCTGTGTTTTAAAAATGGGAACTGCCAGGCCGGGCGGAATCCTTGGTGAGACTGGTAATATCCAGGGCCCCTGAAACATTTGAAAGGACGAGGTTGCAAGACATTTAGAGGCGTGGTCTTGCTGAATCTTGGAGCTGGGAACTACCTGTGAAGCAGTTAGGCCCCCTCTTGAATCCACGGAGCTCAGAGAGCCCAGGGATGGGCCTCCGTGGGTCCGCTAAACTTAGAATATCGCGTGTATTTATCAATACCAATTAGTTCATTTTTGTCGAGGAAAGGAGTCTTTGATCAAAATGTTTCTATAGAAAGTCTGACTGCTATCTGGCACTCTCTGGAGACAGTACAGGGAGAAACAACTCTTTACAGGCAAAATGTGAATTGCTTTGAACACCCACATTCCCTTTTTTAAAAAAAGGTTTTATTATCTTTTTTAGAGAGAGGGGAAGAGAGAGAGGGAGAGAAACACTGGTGTATGAGAGAGACTTGGATCGGTTGCCTCTCGCACTCCCCCAGCTGGGGACCTGGCCTGCAACCCAGGCATGTGCCCTGACTGGAAATCAAACCGGCAACCTTTTGGTTTGCAGGTCAGCGCTCAGTTCACTGAGCCACACCAGCCAGGGGTGAACACCCATCCTCCCTTTTAAAGGGATGCATATACTTAAGTGTGGTCTCATTTTCAACATTTTAACTTACCAGTTACATAGTGTGACACTAACTGCAATTTAAAAGAACCCCTGCCCCACTTTCCCAACCTTCCTTTTCACCCCTTCCCTGTCCCATCCTCTTCCACCCTCCAGACATTTCTTCTCCTGCCCTATGCAAGAAGGATACAAGATACTTTTTTTTACTTTACTATGTTCATATTCTGAAATGTCCATATTACTCTTTTAATTTAAACCTGTATTACAGTTATAATTGAGGAATACTTTAATCTTATCAGAAGTGATGAAATTGTGAATTCAGAAACAGATCTTTTTTTTTTTAAGATTTTACTTATTTATTTTTGGAGAGAGGGGAAGGGAGGAAGAGAGGGAGAGAAACATCAATGTGTGGTTGCCCCGTGCACGCCCCCTATGGGGGACCTGATTTGCAACCCAGACCTGTGCCCTGACTGGGAATCCAACCCCAAACCCTTTGTTCCGCAGGCTGGTGCTCAATCCACTGAGCCACACCAGCCAGGGCCAGAAGTAGGTCTGAATTATGTCTGTAATCCCTCAGGTCCAGACCGCCCTGCCCATAGCCAGGGCTTAACCAGAATTGGCCAATACAACATACCAGTCGTTCCTTCAAGTTTTCCAGAGCACACCAATGTGAAAAAAACCTCTCATACACTCACATTATTTTTACGTAAATATGGGTAATTAAACAAATGAACTAAAATTGAACAAGTCACTTGCTAATTCAAGACAATACGTAAATTATATTTTTCAAAAAGATATATGCTTAAGGGAGGAAGGTGGGAAAGGAATGCATACAATGAAAATGTGTCAGTGTGAAATGGATGCTCTTCCTTTTTTCCAAAGTTTCATAAGTATATTTTTATAGTTTAAAATTATAATAACTTCTCAACACAGCCAGTACCTCAACTACGCCATGAGCTCAGAGCTGGAAAATTCTGCCTTTCTAGATAGCAGTATTACTTCAGGGTTAACTCAGGCTCCATCCATCTGTAGGGTCTTAAAATGAAACGCTGAAGGCTCAGGAGATAGGAAACATCTGTTAGTTCTGACAACCCAGCACCATCTTTCCTCCTTGGGGAACTGCTCCTCCCTGCCCCCTTCAACCTCCCGGAGGTGCTAAAGAGCCTCCCAGTTGCCGTAACTACTCTCTGCCCTCCACCAAAACAAAGGACAAACAAACAAACAAAAAACAGAAAAGACACAGAACTCAACTGGACCAATCCAAGCACTGCACTGTCTTGACTATAGCTCAGTAGGGTGCGACCCGAGCTAAGCCTATTGGAGTTCTTCCCTGAAATTTTCTAAGTTAGAAATGAAGAGAATTTCTGTATTTCCTATTGGACCAGGAGATATAAGGATGAGACCGCAAACATATTATCAGCACCATCTTCCACCAACCACATGAAAAATTCTGAAAGAATGAGGCAATGTTACTGGACAGAAACAAAAAATTGGAGGGAAGAAAGGGGAAGGGGAGAGAAAAAGAGGGAGACCCCTAACGGCTTGTTCCATGGCTGCAGTAGACCTTGCGCCGGCTTTGCTCACGCCGTCTAATGTCTCACACTCAACAGGCCCCCAAATCTCCCTTTCCTCGGGTGCTCCCCCTTCAGTAACTGGCATTGCTCCATCTAGTTACTTACTCTAGAAACTTAGGGGTATCCTCAACACCACTCTCTCCTTTCCCCCTCATCCAGTCCATGCTGTTTCCATCCCCAAACCGTGTCTGGAACCTCCCCACTTCCCACCATCTCCGAGTCTCTGTCCCAGTTTAACCAATCATCAGCTCTCATCCCGATTCCAGCAACAACTTCCAAGCGCTCTCTCATTCAGGTTTTTCCAACCACCCCCATCCACTACCCACACAACAACTGGAGAATCTTCTAAAAACATACCAGTGTTCAATGAGTTCTCTTTCTTTTCATGAAGTTCAAAATCTTTAGCATGGCTACCAGACCCTGCATAACCTGGCTCCAGTCTGACCTTGAACCACCCTTGCCGACTGCGCTCCAGCTACACACAAGCCTTCCCCCAATCCCTAATCGCAAGGTACTTCTTCGTGCTTTGGGAATTGTGAGTGTACAGTTCCCACTGCCTCTACAGTTCTATTTTTCCCACTTCTCCCCCACTTCACCTGACTGAATAATTGGTCTTCAAGAGGCTTTTCTTAACCGATTCTAGATCCAGCCCCTGCATGGCCATAAACTCCAGGAGGGCAAGGAGGTCTCTGTGAACGACGCCTACCTAGCACAGTGCCTGGCACATGCAGATGCCCGAACGATATTATTGTATGAACAACCCAATGTATAAATGGATAAGTAGCCACCCAGGACTTTCCACCCACTGGCCAGCTACTCCCACTTCCCCAATTCCAGTGCTATCAACACAGTGCAGTTTTCAGGTCAAGTGCAGAATGAAACAATGGCGGAACCACAGCAGGCTGCATGTGGAGAAGGAGGGCTATTTTGGAGCACTTACGGCAACTGTGGTCCTCACATTTTACCCCATGAGAAGGCCTTCCTGCCTACCATTGAACAGGTGCTAGGTGAGAATGGGGGAGAAAGGCAGAGACACTGTACTGAACAAAAGGATTTCTTTAGTAAGGGAAAATGAGAACCGATCCTTTTTGTTTTGAGAACCAAAATTAAAACACTAATTAATAATTTCCAGTAAGAGAGAAAGTAAAAAAAATTCTTCGCTTTGGTCCCTATATTGGTCATCCTGTTTACATTCGGTTTGGCTCTGACTTCTCTGAGGTCAGTGATAAGAAGGCCAAGGGCACAGGAAACGGCGCGCCAGTCACGCGCCATTCTCCTGCGTTTCGCCTTGGAAAATAACTTGTCATCTAATTCTACTTTGGAGATAGTAAGGAATTATTCAACCCAGTGATGAAAGCATTCTGTAGATCAGTGAATATACACGTTTTGTGTCATGGGTGGGGGTGTGCAGCTGTGAACATCTGGCTCTCTGCCAACCTGTCCCCAGAGTGTCGGCTCCTGCAGCCTCTGGTGGGTAGATCCTCCCTGTATCCGAGAATTCTGCTTGTACTGAGCTTGGGAACAGTATAAACAAATAATTATTCACTTCTTTGGCCAAGTGTTTTGATGGACCGACACGTCTTATAAGTGTATTTGTCTGTGCAACTCTAACATTCCAATCACTTAGTAAAGACAAACCAACTGAAGACCTCAACTCGGATCCAAATACTGTCTATTAGCCTTTAAGCATAGTAGTCTGTTTATCACCTTTTTTTTCCTCCACTGCTGGTTACCATCCAATTAAGTATAAAAAATTATTATCCTAAAAGCAAACAGCCTCTACTCTCTGGGATTAAATGACAAACAGCCGTCGTCCCCCCTGCCCGACTCACAATGCATTTTGTATCTCTAGATGTTGCGGTGTTATCAGCAAGACTGAAAAAGACCCTGGCGACCGACAGTGCCTTCCGCCCCTGCGGAGGTACGGACTGCTCAGGAGTTTTATTGCAAACAAGTAGCGGGGCCCGTTACTATGAAATACTTACAGCTTCGCTCCTCCCATTCACTGTTTTAAGAGTGAAAACATTTCAAACCTACCTGAGAATATAAACCTCCCTGTTTGACATTCAGACATTTAGCTAAGGGTTTTCTGAAATCCCTTGCTGTTTGTAAGACTGAGGTCTGGCCTGCAGCGATGTGACGGACACTTAGAGCCCGCATTGCGGTGCAGCAGGGATTGCTCAATCTAAATGAACTTCGTGGTTTGGTCTTCTCCCCAGCCCCTCCCCTCATTTTCTTCATGACCGTTCTTTTGGGAAATTACTTCCCATCAGCAGTATTTGCCCCCAGCTGGCGAATCAGATGGAGTTTCTCTCTGTAGTTAATAGACAGTGAAGGCTTAGG